ATATATCTGAATATATCTGAATATATCTGAATATATCTGAATATATCTAAATATATCTGAATATATCTGAATATATAATTTGTCTGTCATCTATAGTTCTCAGCATTAGGCAAAAACCAACTTTATTTTTTTTAAAATCTTTTAATAAACCATTTAAATACTAAATTGATGGCAGTAGACCAAAATAAAGCAGAAGAATTTTAGTCGTAAAGATTTACAGTCTCATCCTTTATCAATTCTGGTAGGTTTAAGAAAAGGGACTTCTTCAATTCCCTACAGTCGTCATATAAGTCTTATCGTTTATGTATGATTTGATCTTGATTTAAGAGTTGTATTCTCTTCACCTTAGAGCAACAATGTCGTAAAACATGTTAAATTCTGACAATTTTCTTCACTTATTTTTCGGCATAAATCAGCGTTGTCGCTCCCAAGAGAAACCGAAAATTTTCAATTAATTGATTTTCCTTTTTTCTATATCTTATAACTAATATTTCAAAGTTAGGTAGCTTCGACTTAATTTTTCATATTTAGATTTCAGATTTCCCATGTTTACATTATTACATTATGCAATCTCCATCCGTTTCCCCTTCCCCCCCCCTCCCGGGCCGTCCCCATCCGCCCCCCCTGGAGCTTCTTTCAGATTGCATCAGAACCTTTATAATTCTTGCATCCTGTAAAAGTTTCAGAGAAAATGATCAAATTCCCAAATTTTTAGCGACGGCCTTTAGTTCCATGTCCGATTCCCAGTTTGATCAGAGATGAATAAAATGTTCTTCTCTTTTTTGATCGTAACGAAGTACATTGTCTTATTTCAAAAGGTTTCAAGATAGAAAACGGCAATATCCTCCCCATTGTTGATCAAATATAAATAAGTTTAAAGGGTACCATTGTGCCAGTTTACTTTAATGGTCCCTGTAAGTAATATCAAGTTTCTAGAATTAAATATGAATTCTGGTCAATGCTCTTTTAAACCTGTATTTAAGCTTGTCATCGTTTTCTTAGTAAAAAGATGGATTAACAAAGAGAAGTCTAAAATCATGATTTGATTTTTTAGAAAAACTTCTTCTTTTCATGCTTCACTTGATTTCAACAAAACACATGTTTTCTACTTTTTACTTATTCCCCTCCAACCTGTTAGCGCCTACATAACTCCCCATCCAACTTTCTTTTATTTTCACTCTTCTCCTCCTTCTTCTCTAAACATTATTCATTGAACTCACAACCACACGCCTTATCACACAACCCGGCGCAACTGTCCTTGCTCCCTCAACAGATGAAAAATAGGGAAAGGAATTAAGTTTTGTCACAAACTCAGATTTTTTAATCCCTATATATATATAAGCAACCCAATGTTATAGACCCTAGATATTTTAAACTGTCCATTCTGTTAGATCAAATAATCTAAGTTTGAAATATCCCAAACTTACAAGGGATTAAAAAAAATCCAGGTTGTGGCAATTAGACTCAATTCCTTTACATGGTATAATTTGGAAAATAAAAAAACACAAAATTTAAAAATCCAATATTTTAAACCTAACTCTTTCTGAACAGTTATCAATTACCACCCCCCCCCCAGAAGATACTCTAATTGCGCCTTTTCGTCCATTTATCCTTCAATCAATCTTTATTCATATTCTTACTCTTAATTAGTGTGTAAAATTGGGAACCCCTGCTGCAAGATTTGCAGCTGCTTTTTATAGTTTAGAGAAAATATGGGAATCCCTGTATCTCTGAGTTGCAACGAGTTCATAACTAGGTGCAGTTGCAATCTAGTGTTGACTTTTATGCATCTAAAAAGGTTAAAATCATTCATAAAAATACCTTAAACATGATATTATAATTTTTTCTTTGTTCATCTGAATATTTATCTATATTTATATTTCTGGAATTTATAAATATAATTTTCTTAGGTATGGTGGGAAAATAAAAATTTGGACATTTAGCGGGAAAATGTTCCACCCTTTTTGATACTTTTTTACCTTAAAATAAATTTATTTTATCTTTAAAATAATTAATATTTCTTTTTAATGTTTGCGTTTTAAAACATGTTGATTTTATTTCAATATTTTTCCTTTTTACAGTTTATTGATTTTGTTAAGAAGCTCCTAATATTATATTGGGGGGTTAAAATAATCAAACAAAAAACAGGTTTCTAATCCAATTTCACTCTGAAAGAACAAAATCAGTGTTGTAAATGTAGAACGAATCAAACTGAAGTAATTACTTTTTAAATATTGTGATGAATGCATTAATCACTAAAAATATTTTCTCTCCCCCCCCACTCCCACAATTTAACCTCCCCACTACCCTCACTTCATCTTAAGAATTGCATCTCTACACAGTACGTATATAAATTAACTATTGTCTAACTTCTCTGCGTCGAAAATGCATGGAGCTAAATATCAGACGGCGGGGTGCCAGCGTTGAAATCGCTCATCTTGATGGAGGGGAGGGGGGTGGGTGGTGTTATATTGGAAGAACTAGGTTTTCAAGAGCGCTTCGTGTCCCCTTTTCTAGTAGTAATTTTAGCTCTTTAAGACTGCTTTCCATGCCACTATTTTCGTAAATCATAAAGCAAAAGAATTTAACATTTTTCTTCCGTAGATTTGCGTTTGACGATTTTTGAATACATAAGTTTTGATTTAGGGTTTGGGAGACATAAAGGGAAGGGAAGGGGGGGAAGGATTCGAGCTGAAATATCCTTTCTATTGTTAAATCTTTATAAAATATCTAATCTTGGTCTAATTTATATATTTAGTTTATAAAGTTCTAGCAAGGTTTTGAAATGGTGTAACCCAGAGCTCTGTAATATTTTAAGATCATTTGACATTGAATTCATGGCCTACAGCAAACTTATTCTATATACACCAGACGAACCAGACGCAGGCCTTGTAGCTTGTTATGTATTAAAAATATAGGGGGTAGGGTGTCCTAGTACAGGGTGTCCCAATAAACATGGGAATTCATTGACGAAATCTTTGATTTAGTATAGTGATACCTACTGAGAAAGGTGTAATCTGTAGGAGTTCCGTCTGCTATGTTCACATTTTGTTTGTTTATGTTTTGACTGCATACAGTTGTACTTAGTAAAACAAGAAAATTGCAGTATACAAACAGAGTAAACTTGTCCGTCTTCACTGTTCATCTTGCGGAGACATTATATACACCACTCACACCACACATGATCTTTACAGCCATTTACCGTTTTCATAAAATAAACTCTAGCAGACATAATAATATCATGACTTTTGAAATTAGGTATTACAATGCTAATTCATAACAAAGACGATATCGAATTCGTCACTGAATTCCCATGTTTTATGGGACACTCTGTATATACAGGGGTTCCCACAAAGGATGAGACTTTAATGTTGCACTAAATCTGATTCTAGATAACAATAATAAGGTTGAACTTAGAGACAACTCTGGAGTAGAAATTAATGTAAAAAACGACAAGAAAAAATTCGTAAAATCATCTTTTAAGCCTCATTCTTTGTGGGCCACCCTTGTCTGTATACATATCTGTGTCCAGTACTTGCCACAATATTTTATTTAATAATTTTGTTTCATTTTCGTACGCGATTTTTACTTATTTAAAAAAACCCGATTCTCTGAATGTATCCTCCAAATGGACAATCCTGAAGAATTTCAGCCCTTTTTCAGCAATTATACACCGTAAGAATGTCTTATAGATATTCAATGATTTTTAAATGTTTTTCTTTACAATACTGCACTCTCTGCTCAACTACCATGTCTAGGCGGTGTCTCTTTTTAATTTTTCTCGGCATATAGGGTGTCCCATAAAACATGGCCATTGAGAGAGGACTCAGAGGTGATCGTTGATAGCTATTTTTGAAAAAGTGTGCATCAACAAATTTGCACAAATTTTCATGAGATGTACGACGGTCTATCACATTGTGTGTCGCTTAACTTTATTTTTACACATTTTTTGTCCTATATCAAAGACAGTCTGGTTTAGAAAGGGACTGTTGCAGCGTAATTTCAAATGATCCGCCATTTAAAATTTCAAATGATCCGCCATTTAAAATTTCAAATGATCCGCCATTTAAAATTTTAAATTGATCCCCCATTTAAAATTAAAATGATCCGCCATTTAAAATTAAAATGATCCGCCATTTAAAATTTCAAAATGATCCGCCTTTTTAAAAATTAAATTGATCCGCCATTTAAAATTTTAAATGATCTGCCACTTAAAATTTTAAATGATCCGCCATTTAAAATTTCAAATGTACCGCCATTTCAATTTTCAAATGATCCGCCATTTAAAATTTTAAAATGATTCGTCATTAAAAAATTTCAAATGATCCGCCATTTAAAATTTCAAATGATCCGCCATTTAAAATTTTAAATTGATCCCCCATTTAAAATTAAAATGATCCGCCATTTAAAATTTCAAAATGATCCGCCTTTTTAAAAATTAAATTGATCCGCCATTTAAAATTTTAAATGATCTGCCACTTAAAATTTTAAATGATCCGCCATTTAAAATTTCAAATGTACCGCCATTTCAATTTTCAAATGATCCGCCATTTAAAATTTTAAAATGATTCGTCATTAAAAAATTTCAAATGATCCGCCATCTAAAATTTTAAATTGATCCCTCATTTAAAATTTAAAATGATCCGCCATTTAAAATTTTAAAATGATCCGCCATTTAAAAATTTAAATTGATTCGCCATTTGAAATTTGAAATTATCCGCCATTTCAAATTTCAAAATATTAATTCGATTGTTTAGACAATGCTTTTCAGGGTACCGTTGTGAATCGCAACTTTTTCAAAGAAGAGTTACTTAAAATTACGTGAACAGGCCGTCTCTTAACTGCATGTTCAGTGGGACACCCTGTATAAGAAAGTTTAAGCAAAAATGCTTTCTTTTTTAATCATATTTTCGGTCTATATGTATATTAAAGACTAAATTTTGTAAGCTTTAGCTAATTTTCTTTCATTTAGAAAAGAGTTTGGCTTGAAAGGACTGACAATTACTAAATCTCAATAATACTTATTAACATTTCATTTTACCTAAAGCATCATTTCTTAATTGAATTATTATCATCTAACTTCTATCACATTCGTAGCGTGAAAGTCACATGTCTGAAAAAATATTTTTTAATCATTTACAACATTTTAACATTTTACAAAATGGATGAGGGGGGGGGGGTATTGGGGTTGAATTAGTTTCACTGAAGCGTTAGCATACACATATACTCAAGTTTTCACTTATTAAGGGGATTTTATATTACAACGTTTTTTAAGTAACTCAAATTCACAATTTTACCAAATATTGAAATCTATGAATTGCAAATAATACAAACTTTGACGCAAACATACCTGCCGGCCGCAGGTGCACACTGCACAGTATGTGGTTTAACTGTTTCTTGTGCGCGTAAGCGTACCCTTGTCAAACCAAGGGTTTCCAAATACTGCGGGATTTAAGCGCACGCACACTGCACAGGGCGTATTAATGTGTGTGGGGGGGGGGGAGTTTGGGTGGAAAATAAAAAAAATATTTGACGAGTTTAAACTATTTCATATGAAACAACGGTGGTCAGTGACAAAAAATTACTTTGTTATATTTTTTCCATGAACAGTAAACATCTTTATTTTTCAAATATATCAATCAAATGCCACTTTTGTAAATATGTTTATTTAAAAGACATTACAGTTTTTCTCTCTTGGAAAAGCGTTGAAGTCTGACAATTTCCTCCGTCCCCTCGGCTGCAATGAAATTACTTTTTTAGAACTTTGCTCCTTACAATACTTTTAAACTGACTGATAAATCCAGAAATTACGTTTTCAATGAAATCTTTTCTTCTTCTACAAATTATTTTGAAAAAATTATATTTTTGAGACGGGGGGACGATAAAAATCTATTTTTACCCCCAATTCTGTTCCTTTAAATTAAGATTAAAACTTAAAGAAACTGTTTAAGATTTTCAAAATGAGGATGATTTTAATGAAAAGCAATTGATTAAGACAAAATTGAAATTCAGCTTTTTGTGATATATGTCTCAGTGTTACTCAATCAATTTTATTTTTTTTATTCCACTTTTTTGTTTGTATAAATATATTCCATTCTTTAATTTTATATTTGAGACTTAAAAGGAACTATGAAGGAAAAATGAAAAAGGGGGGATATAGGCTGAATCCTAAACATTTTAGGAGTTCATCGAGACCTATATAGGCTGAATCCTATTAGGAGTTCATCGAGACCTATATAGGCTGAATCCTAACCATTTTAGGAGTTCATCGCGACCTATATAGGCTGAATCCTAACCATTTTAGGAGTTCATCGAGACCTATATAGGCTGAATCCTAGCCATTTTAGGAGTTCATCGAGACCTATATAGGCTGAATCCTAACCATTTTAGGAGTTCATCGAGACCTATATAGGCTGAATCCTAACCATTTTAGGAGTTCATCGAGACCTATATAGGCTGAATCCTAACCATTTTAGGAGTTCATCGAGACCTATAAGAGTTCCTGATGTTCCTGTCTCGAGAAATTGATATAAAATTTTGTCAAATTTTTATGAAAATGTATATGAAAAATGTAAGTTTAAACAGATCCTATGTAGCAAATACGCAACCAATCTGAAAATGACGATACACCAGTGTAGCCTAAGTAACTTAGGTTTTCTCCTATTATTATTTGAATTTAATAATTTTTCATTTTCAATAGATATAATTAATAATATTCTTTATACGTCCGTATCATGTGACCAGAACTCAGGTAACACTTATTCTTAATTTTTCCTTTACAGCCTTTTTAATGACGATCGGAACCTTTTTTAGTTCAATCTACAGCTGGGAACTATTACTCAAACAATTCCGTACAGTCGTCTCTAAAATCTCGTCCTTTGTGGATACCCCTGAAGAATGGAGATATGTGCCTAGCTGTAAATTGTACACAACGTTTAATCTTAATTCACATAGATTATTAAACCATGTAAACGTTCCAAATTTTTATATACAATGTAAAAATCATAGATTAATTAAAAAACAGATAGGACACTGGATGTCGTCTATGCAAGATTTATGTGTGTTTCGTTCACGATACCCCAAGGCAGAAGCCCAAAGGAGTTACGCGTAGTCGGCTCTCTCTTTGTAGATGGAAATGAATATTGTTTTTGTTCTGCAACTGATGCACATAAATCTGATGTCATATCTGTTATTTTAATTAGTCTATGGTAAAAATAATTACTGTTTTTTGAAAGTACGATGAAAATGGCTTTTTAAAAATTCACAATTAAAGCTAGAATTGTTACAGGAAAAGGGCCGCGAAGCTCACGAACAGCCTAGATAAAAATAAAGCTAAAGCTATTCATTTTTGCAAATTATTTGGATTAAATCTGATTTAAATTTGATTCTTGCGTGCAGTATTTTATGCGCACCGATTCTTTGTATTTGGTCGGTGAGATGGGCGGAGTCCAACATATTTATTCGTAAGGATGAGCTGAGAAAAAAATCCACCTTTTACGATACTTTTGCATTGTTCGTTCAGGTCTCTATGGTTCAGGTCTCAAGAAAAACTTGTCTTGCATTTTATAATTTGAATTTGGGCGAATGCGCGAGTGTTAAAATAAGCCTGATTTTAAACTGTGTATCAAGCCGTATCTCTGAAAATTATGCAAGATGGCATGTTTGGTTTGTTTGACCTTGGTTCAGGGAATCCAAGGTAGATTATGTGTTCGTTTCCACACATAGAGTCTTCAACCGCACACATCATACAATTTTTGTGAATTTTTTCCATCTATTTTTAAAAGATGCTGTCGAAATCGATTAAAACTTACGACACCTATTTGTTCACAATATATATGCATTTATTGCTAATTAATTTATGTCTTTTTAAAATACCGCTAATTTAGGTCAAGGCCCCACACTACTCTAAAAGCCTGTCTTTTTAAGGTCATTGGATTGAGAATTAGGAGACACAAATGTATGTTGATTCATTCATGTTAAACTTAGTGCTTCCCAATAAATAATTACAATGAAGATTCAGTAAAATATAGAAATACTTACAGTGTGAGTCTGTAAAGACGACCTGCAACTCATTAAATATGACGTATTAAGGTTGAACTAAGCCTTCTGCCTTGAAAATTGTCTTTTTATGGCCTGTTTCTTGATATGGCAACGAAAACAACCAGTTTACAGTTGCAGAATCCTAAATATAAGGAAATAGACAGAATAAATTCTGTACAGTCGTCTTTAAATTCTGTACAGACGTCTTTAAATTCTGTACAGTCGTCTTTAAAGTATTTTGTATGTATGTCAGGATGTATGTAAATATAAGGAAATAGACAGAATAAATTCTGTACAGTCGTCTTTAAAGTATTTTGTATGTATGTCAGGATGTATGTAAATATAAGGAAATAGACAGAATAAATTCTGTACAGTCGTCTTTAAAGTATTTTGTAGGTATGTAAGGATGTATGTAAATATTGTATTTATGTTACCTATACCCGACCAAATTCTAGCTCTTTTAGGAGGATGCTGCAAAATAATTTTGCATCCACATCTTGATCTTTCATGGGCGTGTTTATATCTTTATTATTGCAGTTTAGTCATCTTATTCTTAACGCATAAAAAATCAGAATAGCAAAAACAATTTGCAGTCCATCCTCAAAAAAAAGAAATATATATTACAAATACTTTTGAGAAATTCAAAAGTTGCATCTTCATTTATCATTCCATACCCCCTAACCATTTTAGGAGTTCATCGAGACCTATATAGGCTGAATCCTAACCATTTTAGGAGTTCATCGAGACCTATATAGGCTGAATCCTAACCATTTTAGGAGTTCATCGAGACCTATATAGGCTGAATCCTAACCATTTTAGGAGTTCATCGAGACCTATATAGGCTGAATCCTAACCATTTTAGGAGTTCATCGAGACCTATATAGGCTGAA